AATTACCTTTTTCTTGAAGTAAGGATTTGGCGACAGATTCTTGAGTGAAACGCGCGGTAAGTATCGCAACAAATGCAACGCTTTCTCCGATGGACTGCTCATCGCTGTTGACAATGGCTTTCGGTTTCACTATTTATGAACGCTATTAACCGTACAATCAATTCAAACAAATCGCTATTTAATAACACTTTTTGTTTACAAATCAAATAAAACTCGTGTTTCGTTCAAAACTGCTTCAAAGGAGACATCTATTGGACTAAACGATTGCCTCTAATAATAGGAACTTTGAAACAACTTTAGGTATAGACCTATAACTTGTGTCTAACAATTAGGTCTAAATTAGACTGATTTATGAAATTAACATTAATTTGTTGTCAAATCAATTGATGATACTATAAGAGAAATGTGACTAAATAGTGGACAAATATGGTTTTGCATAAGTTAATTGACATAACCAATGTATGTGTAGAGTTTGCAATATAGGCTCTACTCAGTAGAGTCTACTGTATTATAGATAGAACTAAATTTTAAATAACCATAAAATAGAGTTTGCATTCGTATAAGAAGTTTGATCCAGATTTATGCCATTTAGAACTCGATGGTTCCAAAATCAAAGATATTATTATGATTGGGTACAGTATTACTACAAACTTGTTAAGCGAAACGTTTTTAAACACAATACCTATGTTACCCGTTATTACTGATAATTGTGATTGATCATTTAATAATTAAATTTTGATTAAATGTGATTGGTCATTTTGATGTTAGTTTATATAAGCATTTTTATTACCAGTATGATTATAACGGATGCGTTATATAACCGATTTATCAATCACTAAACCCTGAGAATATGTTAATTCATATTATTTCAATACAAACGGACATATCTTGCGGTTAAGACATTCACCACATTTTGGTCTGAGAGCCGAACATATGGTTTGTCCGAAGCCAACGACCAATAGATTAAAGTCTTCCCAACAATCCTTTGGTAACCACTGTTCCAACTGTTTCTCCGTTTGTTCCGGAGTTTTGCTTTCAGTCCATTTCAATCGATTGCAAATCCGATGAACATGAGTGTCGACAGCAATGCCAGTCAACTGATCCCACGCTATCTTCATCGCCAAGTGAGCCATTTTGGGTCCGACGCCCGGAAGACTCAGCAGACCGTCCAGAGTGTCGGGTATATCGCCGTCGAACTGATCCCTTAGTATAAGAGCCGTTCGTTTAATGAATTTACTCTTATTTCGATAGAAACTGACGGAACGAATCATTTCCGACAGATCTTCTTCACTCGTTTCGATCATATGATTGACTGTCAGTCCATACTCTCGAAGCGATTGCATTGTCTTATATGTCATCTCATCTCTCGTTTGACTCGAAAGCATAAGCGATATCAACACTTGGAAGCGCTTGTCTTTAGGATTGCCTTCATTTTCATCAAATGTCTTCTCCGCACCCATACTGTCGACCACAGCATCCCTTTTGTCCCGCATTTTGCGAATATTTTCCAGAATTTGTCTCCAATTTTTGGGCTCTTTTGACACAACTTTCAAACTCGACTTTTTGGTCGACTTTTTCGGTAACACTTCTTCGGATGATTGGTCTGAAGACAATTCATTGTCCGACTCTTCTTGTGGTTCAGAAATGTGTTTCGCTTTTCGTTGTCTTTTAGTTTCCAAACGCTTCCCAACCGATGATGTCTTTGACTTATTTGGCGATACATTTGTGGCAAAATAAACCGATGTTTTGGCCGCCGACGACTTCGCTGACGCTCTTGTGGTCACTTTTGATGACATTATCAGTGATTTATTGAATGATTTGATGAGAAATATATTGATTGCGAAAATCATTCAACAAATCAATAGTTATTTCAATTGAAAACAAAACTTAATCTCATTTTTCAAAAGCCAACCAAAAGTTGCGATCATTTGTCACGTGTTTTGCAATCCATAGATATTGTGACAAATGTTTGAATGAATGCATCACTGAATCGATGAATGACTCGTTGTTTGCATTTTTGTGAATGACTTTTGCTTTTCATGAAAAACTAAACGACAATTAAATTGATATTTAAAACACATTTGATTTGCTATTGAAATCTATTACTCGGTTTGCGGACAATGTCTGGTCATTGTTGTGACCACTCGTGTGAAGGACACCAATCCATCAACAATACCGAAGATATGGGCGTTTTGTACAGTCTTTACACCCGTATAGACACCGATCGCGTCGAGTGTCTCAACGAAGCCATTGAGGGCTCCGGGAGGCGAGTCTTCAAGCCGTGGGATCAACGGCTCAACTTTGAACAGGTCTCTCATCTGTCACTCATTTTGATGACTAATCCAGTGATCAATTGAATGGTTTGTTTTTAGTTTGTGGAAAGCGATTGCGACGAAGAACTCCTCTTTAAGATACCGTCAGTTATATTGTATTTCATTTGCATTGAATGACTCACTAATTGTTTGCCAAACAATCAATAGATTCACTGGAAATGTCAAACTCAAAGGTCTTATTGTAATCGGTGGTGAAGACGAGTCCCATCCCTCAAGAATACGATTGTAAATGAAGTGATAATTATGTGATTACTGTATTTGTTTTAATGTGGTTTCAAATCAATTGAAAGGTATAAAAACCGACCCGACATGAACTTCGACGACGTGACCGTTGAGGCGGACCAGGAGTTTGAGACAATGCGTGACATGAGTGGCACTCTTGAGTACATTATTAAGTATATAACAAATGTTAAGGGTTTTAATTCAATGGTAATACTAATAATTATTAATCATTACTACTGTCGCAAAGAATTGTCAAATTTTCTTCTGTCCATCACTTAACGATTCACATCCCGAAGAATTTCGGCAATGAGACCACAAAAGTATACTATATTGGCCTCAGAGGGGAATTCACAAAAGTATGCATTGCTTGCTGTTTGTGTCAAACATTTGATTCATTTACTTAACATAATTGCAGACACAAAGAGAAGCCATTGTACTCACAAACTATGAATTGGCACCAAATCCGGCCGAATGTAAGACTGATATCCAGGAGAAAGTGCCGCATCAAATACACTAAAAAAAGTGCACTCAATCTTATTTTATATCATTTTTAATTTACTCAATACAACTAAAATGTTTTACTTATAATAAATTGTTAACATTAATGAAAATACAGTATAAATCAAATTAGTCTCTATAGTATTGGATGAGGTCTGGATCTGTGGGCGCGAGAATCTGTTTGTCCTTAAGGTTGACGACCCAACCCGGCTCTAAGCCGAAGAACACTTGTCGCGGATCTTTACGGATATTCATAATGGGATTACGCGAGTGATCGGCCAATTGGTAGCCATACTTCTGGGCCAATATCTGTCTCTCTTCCTCCACTTTCTGCGGGTCCGCCAAATAACCCCTGTTTTTGGGATCCGTATAGTATTCAATGGCGTCTTCCGGGGGTAGCATTCGTTTGGGTATCGGTTCCCCTGATTGACATCAATCGAGCATTAATTGAATATAAATTCTTCCCAATGGACTCCAAATGCAAACCTTTTTGAAAGAAATCCATTGGTCTGTGAAGAGCGAAGACGCTATTGATGTCATAGTATGCGGTGGTAATGACACCGCCGTTCCTCTCGATGGCGGCGATCACCGGTTCCTTCGCGTATTGAACTTCAATATTGACTTTAGCCTTGAATTCATTGATTCCCTCATCAATCAAATTGACGCCAAAGTGATTGAATTTGGGATCAATTCGGTAGTAGTTTGTGTTGCAAATGGTGGTCAAGTCGATGGGCTCTTCCGGATTAACCGCTTTGGTGTCAATCATTAGTTGCAATTGAAACAAAGTGAGGGGCGGGTATTGGCGCCGATATCTGTCCATTGAGTGTCCAAACGAGACATTTAATTGATTCAATGCATTACTGGTGAGTGTTTTAGCGATAATTACTTATGGTTTTGATAGTAGTTCTCGACGGGAATCTTCAGATAAAATGGTATATATCCTCCTTCATAGCCGACCGGCCAGAACCGCTGTCTCTCGCGATTGCTTTTGTTGATCTTCTCTCGCGGCCGGTATTGTCCCACTTTGTGACCCTTTAAGGCAATCAATCAATCAATTCATTCAATCAACTAATCATATGATAATAATTACCTTTTTCTTGAAGTAAGGATTTGGCGACAGATTCTTGAGTGAAACGCGCGGTAAGTATCGCAACAAATGCAACGCTTTCTCCGATGGACTGCTCATCGCTGTTGACAATGGCTTTCGGTTTGACTACTTATGAACGCTATTAACCGTACAATCAATTCAAACAAATCGCTATTTAATAACACTTTGTGTTTACAAATCAAATAAAACTCGTGTTTCGTTCAAAACTGCTTCAAAGGAGACATCTATTGGACTAAACTATTGCCTCTAATAATAGGAACTTTGAAACAACTTTAGGCACACCTATAACTTGTGTCTAACAATTAGGTCTCAAATTAGACTGATTTATGAAATTAACATTAATTTGTTGTCAAATCAATTGATGATACTATAAGAGAAATGTGACTAAATAGTGGACAAATATAGTTTTACATTTAATTTACATAACCACTGTATGTGTACAGTGTTAGAGTTTGCAGTTTAGAGTTTGCAGTATAGGCTCTACTGTATTATAAATATAGATAGAACTAAGAAATAACCATAAAATAAAGTTTGCATTCGTATAAGAAGTTTGATCCAGATTTATGCCATTTAGAACTCGATGGTTCCAAAATCACAGATATTATTATGATTGGGTACAGTATTACTACAAACTTGATAAGCGAAACGTTTTTAAACACAATACCTATGTTACCCGTTATTACTGACAATTGTGATTGATCATTTAATAATTAAATATTAATTAAATGTGATTGGTCATTTTGATGTTAGTTTATATAAGCATTTTTATTACCAGTATGATTATAACGGATGCGTTATATAACCGATTTATCAATCACTAAACCCTGAGAATATGTTAATTCATATTTGATTTGATTTTCAGTTAAATTTCTTCTCCAAAAGATAAAACATGAGATAAAATGTGAGAAAATGTCAATATATATAGCGATGACACCAATGATTGGACCAATAGTTGTTGGTTTGAATTGAAGTTTATCTTAAATGAGACATTTATGTATTGATTATAATCTTTATGTGAAATAATAGCAAGTTTTGAGGGATAAAAGGTATTTATTCGTTAAAATTGTCGTTATATTCATAGCATTTATATACAATGCAATCATAGGACGAGTATTAGTGTTAAAATGCAGAGATATTGCCAATAAATAGTTTATGTAATACAACAATATTTAAAAATATAAATAATAAGTTATGTTTTATTAAAACTCATAAAAACCAATATTTAAACTTAAGACTAGTCTTCCCAGTAATGGTTGAGAGGATATCCTGAATATTGATATATAAATATAAAATCGTAGATCAAATTCTGTACCAAAAATGCATATCAAATCCATACAAAAATTCTTTGTGTATTAATATTCATTCATTAGAAGTCTTTTTCGATAAAAAATTACTTTCTTGTTTCAATCGTATTCTTATATTTTGTCTTTAATATAATAAAAGTATATTTGAATTTGCGGTTAAAACTCTAGCATAAAATATCGTATGATAGCAGTAATTAACACTACATTACAGATATTGCAATCATTAAAATTCGTTAAGTATATCTCAATATCTCGATTCAAATAGTATTATATTTTCTATTCTAACGTCTTATTCGAGGTATGAGTCAATCACTATAAATGAGAGAATAATATATAAAAACCACAATATAGTGGTTTAAGTGATGATTATATGGTTATAATGAGATGTAAGCCATAAAGGCTTAATCATTAGATCTTTATGTTGTAAACCCTTTAGTTGCTAACCATTTAACGCCCGAAGAGGTGTTAGATATGCCTAACAGTTGGCGATAGGATTCTCGACGATATGCACTGAGTCTTCAGCGGACTCATCGATTGAGTTCTTGCGACTGTCGTCTCCATTGAAGCCATTGATGTTACCGTTGATGGCGTCTCCGCTCTCACTCTTATCGCTAGAAAGACTCATTTTGCGGAGCGATGAGCGCCTTCTCTCGTAAGCGGTCAACGCGTAGCCCAAACCCTGGAGGAAGAGACGGAAGGCTTCGGCCACTTTAGCCGGTTGTTCCTCCAAAACCATAGCACAGTCTGAGAGCTTCATCCAAGTGCTGTTCGTCGGATCAAGTCTTGAGTTCATAGTGACCGTGTCGTCCACGTGTGGCGAGAGATTACCGCACAGAACCAGTACTGAGCACTTGAATGCGCGCTCTTTGTCTCCGCGAGCGATCACCAAATCCGTGCGCTTTATGTATGAGTCGATAAATAGCGACAAATTGCGAGCGTTTAGTGACTTTCCGGTGAAATAACTGCGATAAGTATCGATCAAATCTCGGTTGCGCTCCTCGTTTTGTTTGCCGAAGTGATGCCACATTAGGTAGTTCTGGGTTGTGATCGGGAACTGATTGGCGCCCGCAGTGGTCGTACCAGTGCTCGAGTTCAGGTAATAGACGTTCAGTTTCTGGAAAAGCCATTCACTCCATGAGGATTGGGTTGACGTCGGGTTTATGAGAAAGAGTCCGTCGACCAAATCGGGACTGTTTAGTGCAAATCTGGACAGAATGTTGGCGCCCGCGCCCACCTATACGCCCGTCCAATACATACAATACAATACACGTTAATAACAGCTATTAATCAATTGTTAGGTCTATAGAGAAGAGAGTATCAAATGTGCAATAATTTTTGAGACCACTTAATGGCGAATACATGTTATGTTAAAAATGTTGAAAAAACTAATCGATTTATTATTCACTAATCATATATTGAAATAAATTATTTATATTTTTATGCATTAAATACTTTATATTAACTTTAATTATAGGTTGAAATGAAAGGACATTAAAACGAGTTTTAATAATAAATGTGAGAAAAGATTTCAATTGATTTTCAATTCAAATGAGACAATCATTTCTCTATATCTATGCCATTGAATCAAAAAATTTGCATTTTATTGGGCTTTAAATTCCTCTCTCTCTCTCTCTCTCTCTGCTCTCTAAGAATATCATTAAATCCTTCATTGAATGGATGCAAAAGTCGAGCACTTTTTTAAATACATCTAATTATATATCAAATTAATGTTTGTCTCAAAATATTTGGACAAAAATATCTAATTTTAATCATTAGATAAGAGTTAAGTAATTATTTTGATTGCAATTAATGAATGGTTACGAGACTTACGCCAAAACCGATGAATGTCTTGATGTTATAGTGTTTGCAGACAGAGTGGATCTGTTGTGCCAATTGATCCAGAGTTGGGTAGACGTAGTTGTCTGGAAGAGTGGGCGCGTTGTCCTCCATTCCCGGGGCGTTCATGTGATACACGCAGAAGGACTGCAACAACAGCTTCACGTCCATGAAGTTGAAGAAGGCCTGGAAGTTGGACACCACGTTCAGACCCAAGTCGTGGTATGTGATGATCACCGGCTTCTGCAGATTGCCGTCCATCCCCTGGTGGGCGACACACATCTGCCCCCAATCCGTGTCCACTCTCTCCTCGCTATACATATTGTCGCTCTTCTCGAGAGTCCTCATGAGTGGCGCCGAAGACTCCACGTTCTGCAGCTCTATTGACGACAAGTCCATCGCTTTATATGACATTCGCTGAGATTATTGCCAAACAATTGTCTGATAATCAGTGCTATAAATGTATTGATAAAGTGGTAAACAAGTCATGCATTCATGCATTTGTTGTCAACAATCACTCAAATGGCGTTCAAAACACACAAAAAATACATTTACTCTCTCTTTAGTAAACACTTTCAATACCACTGCTATATATGCTATATATTATATAATACCATAGACTATAGTATACTGTAGTATAGCTCACAATATAGAGCCAATGCCTAACAAAGTGTATGCATTCTGTAAACAAAACACATATTCTGTGCCATTGTATGCAATACACCAATAGATGGCATAACTATATCCCACACAAAACAAATTGTTTTCGACAACTTTTCTATTAATTTGATATATTTTTGTATTGAATTTATTGATTATTTAATAGTCTTGTAATACGAAAACAATTTTAATTGTCGTGTTTTGAATGGAAAACTTATATTTAAGTAAACAATATTACGGTTTATGTAGACATAGCACAAGGAAAGGTAGTTGTGACCAAGGGCATTGTAAAAGCATTGTAAGGGCTTTTCATAATTTGTAGCCTCAAGTTGGCCCGTAAATGCAGACCAAGTTGTTTTCAATTTGTTTTGTTTGTTAATTGCTTGATATTAATATTATAATTGTATTTAATGTCTTAGTAATTAATTTATGCCTTCAATAAACAGATTGTTTATTTAATAACTTTATTAGCGCTAATTTTATAACAAATTGTCGCTCAAAACAATTTAGTTGATTAGTAAATGAACATTAATTTTATTTGTTTTATTTAATACATATTTTAAGGCTAAATATTCGTGCATTTCTTCGTATGAATTAATTTATGAACAAATAATAAATTAAGCGCTTCTTAATGAATGAAATAATTGCATTTAATTGGAGGAAATAATACCTTTATAAAAATGATTTAATAAATAAAATATACTTTAATTAATGATATGCTAATAAATTAAGTCATATATAAAATGTATAAATATATCAAATGAAGGCATTAAATAAGTATCAAAGAAATTGTAACAAAGTTTGTGTGATTGCTGTTAATGTTAGTGAAAAATGAGTTAATTCTTGAGATTCTTTATTTAAGTAGGAATTTATTTTATAATTCATATAATAATACTTAATGTGTTTTTTGAACTGACTTTCAAAGAAGTTATGATTCATTTCATCAAAACTAATAATACAAACACTCGTATAAAATGAATGCCATATAATGTATATAAAAGACAATAATTCTTATCTATAGATAATATAAATAAATTATATGTTTTCATACATTTAATTGCAATCAAAGCATAAAATTCTAAACCTATAATGAATTTAGATTTTTAAAATTGCTAACAAATAACTATGAACTATAAACTAGTGAACTAATATTGCATATATATTGTAGATTAATTAGATTAGTTTTGTGTTCAATTGATTTATTAACAATTCAACAATTATTTAATTATTACATTGTAGCATAAATTTTATGTTTGTAAGAAAATGTAAATATTTTAAAAATATTTATTAATACTTTATATAAGATGTTATACACAATAAAGTGAAAGCAACGCTTAATAGAAATAGTACTAAACATAATATTTATAGAATTATATGATATATCGTTAAAAATTCATAAATGATTTTATCGGTTGTTGGAGAACAGGTTCATCAAAATCATCGGTAGTTTAATGTTTTTTCTCTTTTATTTTGAAGTTAATTTTTTGATAACAATTTTTGTTGGTAGCGATTTATACGAACTAATAAATATATAGATTAAATGAAATATTACACTCAATTCAAGTGAAATTTATTATAAAGATTTGCCATAAATTGTAATTCGATATTAAATATTATGTGATATAAGAGCAGGTCTTTGCTTAAGAAAAGAATTTTAGGGCTGGGCTTCAGATATGATCACTAAATATGAGTTACATCTTAGAGAAAGGGAGACCAAAGTGAGTGAATGTGCGAAAGAGAGAGAGAGAGAGAGAGAGAGAGAGCTACTTAATATGTTATGTGCATTATATTATTATAGAGTATACTTTACTTTTAAATTA